CTACCAGTGAGGAAATCTAGAATCCAGTTGCAGAGTGAAGAATTCAGGCCAAGGTCCACGAGTTTAGAAGCTAGTTTGATGGGGACTATAGTTTTGAAAGCTGAGCTATAGTCGATGAATAGCAGCCTTACATAGTTCCCACTGCTGCTGTCAATGTGCAATATATGTGCAATGTGCAAAATAAGGCTGTATATTTTACACTGTTCTGCAATTAGCCTATTAATATTATTGGGGAATTTCCATGTACATAACATGAAGATTTTTATTTTATGAATGATTTTATACAAAACAGCACTGTTTTTTAAATATATTTTTAAATATATAGTATTATATTATAAAACAGCGAAGGACACGTTTGTTTTATTTTATTATAATCTAGCACCTTTATTAGTTTTTTCTAATTATTTAATTACATACAATTTAAACATTTTTTTTCATTATATAATATATGTATTTTTCTATTGTTGATGTTTATGTTATCAGCGTTCATGTATTCATGGTAAACTGTTCGACCTATAAATGGTGCGCCCCCTGCTGTCAGTGCCGAGCAGCAGAGCAGAGCAGCTTGACCCGGAGGAGAAGCGCCGCATCGGCCATTTTGGGCTCAAAGGGGGCTTTTCTGTCACCACGTGAGGGCTGGGTTAGTTAGTCTGACACGGGCACTAAATCGAGCCGAGCGAGGACTCAGAGAACAAGGGGGTAAAACCCGGGGAAGACGCTGCCTCACTCAGCCGCACTCATTTCACATGTGCTGATAGAGAGAGAGAGAGAGAGTAAAGGATGCCGACAGTCACTCTGCCTCCCAAAGAAAACGCTCTGTTCAAGAGGATCCTGGTGAGTGCTAATAATTCAGTGCAACAACATCCATCTATCAAATAAAGCCTGCGGGCTACCGTCATGAGTGTGATTGAGAGCTGTTAATGCAGCACTTTTTTAGCGCGTGCAAAACTGAACGATAAAGAGTCACTTTCTGTCTAATGGAGGTTAGCTTTTAGCTGCTAGCTGTCAGTGTGTTGATGTAGCTTACATACAGACAAAAAGCTGTTGGAAAGAGACTGTCAGTGGTTGGATAGAAGCATGCGAGACTTGTAGTCTTTGTTTATTTGATTTTTATAAGGCATTAGCACTAACAGTTACGTTTATATGGTCAAGCTGCTCTGTTTTGAGGCTGAATGTTGCATGTCAGTAGCTGAAAGCAGTCTCTGGCCTGTTCATGCAGCAAATCACTTTTAAAGATCCTCTGAATATTTCTGTAAAAATTAGGGTTTTAGTCGAGTTTTGATTTAGTGAGCTTTCCGGAGTTGTTTGAGAAGAGAGGAAGAGATGAGCATGTGTTTCTGCCGAAGGAAACCCTGGAAGTTTAGTGATGCTCAACTTAAAAACTGCAAACACTCGACGAGTTTATTCACAGCTAATTCTAAGCTCAAAGCTAGTTCTTTTCACTATATGTAATCATTTAAACTGCTGACTTGATAATGGATTTTGACAGCTAACGTTAGTGCTCTTAAAACAAATGACTGCAATTGTGTTAGCTGCATTTTCTTGTTTCATAAGACTAGTTTGAACTGCTTTGCAAGGCTTTTCTGATTGCAGACCTTTAAATATATTAGATTTGGATGTGGGCACTAATTTGAGATGGGCATAAGTTGCTAGACTGTATGAGAATTGACACTGACAGCATAATGGGCTTTCAAACCACAAACTCAGCCAAAACTTTCACCGCTTGCATGCTGTCTGTTTTATAAGCAAAAAAAAAGCATCACTGTTTTTTGCACAAGGATGCATATAGCTGAGTGTTTTTTGTTTTGTTTTTGGCTATTTGGTTGTAGCCAAAATCAGTGACTTGCAATTGCTAGATTGGTGGAACTGATATGTATTTTTTTAGCTGATAAAATCCTATCAAGTGGTTTAGGATTTGTCATGCATTAGTAAAGATTGTAGTGTTTGTGTTGTGGTTTTGATATAACAAGCTTTGCATATGCAGTCTATTCCATGCATATGCAATGTTGAACTGCACTTATAACAAGGCAAGTCTACAAAAACCTTGATAACTGTCTGTTGATATGATGCACAAATGTTTTAAAGAGCATTTTATTCATTATCATTCTTAGTTCATTTGTCTAAAATGCAAAATACAAAACTTCAGAATTTTCACACAGAAGTAGTAATTTTTTATCATGTAAAATGTATACTATATATGAGCGTTTATGCTCATTTAGTACATCTGATCTGTATATGATCGATCACAATGTCATCATGAATCCACTGAATGATTTAGCTGAACTTTAAAGTTGTGGTCAATAGTGGTCGACCGATATATCGGCCGATATTTGGCATTTTTCAAATATTGGTATCGTCCGATAAGTTTTTCTGTTTGGCCGATGTGTTCAAGGCGGGACTTTTATTTTGACGGCACTGAGAATGACAGCGCCTGAGCACACAGTGCTCACATTCTCCCTCTTGTTCGCTGTCATCGTTAACAGTTCTGTCTTATACAGATAAAATTCTGTCTAATAATCAGATAGAACTGTTAAACAAAGGAATTAAAATGTATACAAAAAAGTATTATAACGATTTCTTTTATATTATTTGTAATAGAAAGGCAAACATTATAATACTTTCTCGTTTGCCGTCAGCGTTCAGCAAAAACGCGTTTATATCATTTAAACAAATCTTCGGACGGGACTAGTTTTACAGGGGGTCGGTAGAGAAATTTGTGTTTCACCACTTGGTGTACTTGGTGATTTTAATCCCGTCCGAATCTGCCACGTCTGTGTTTTTCTCACACAACCTCTGTAATAATTCCAGAGTAAATTACCTACTGTTTTTCAGCAAACTCAGTGATCCTCAGAGAAAACGAATCCCTTCCGAATGTGAATGTCTGTGATTGCTGGCGATTTTTTTTTTTTCATAACGCGTTTCCTTGTGTGTTTTGGCCAAAGTGAATTACCGTAGATGCTCTTACCGTGTGCATGTTTGATTTGCCTCCCAGCAAAGAAATAAAAAAATAGCTATAATAAAAGAGCCAGATCACGTAAACTGTTAAAGGGGTCATATGATGCTGAGTGAGCTGAGGCGGCGGGGTCGAGAACGGCAGTCCCGGCGAAGGAGCGGTGAAAACGGTGAAAGCCGATCCGGCGATCCACAGCACTAAGTTGATGTATTCCCTCAGCGACCAGCACGGATCAGCTCTAGGCATGACGAAGTGGATATCGTCCTCTTTTGGAAGACCAAACAAAGTAGTTTCGCTTTCACAACGAAGCACACAGCGTCTTCAAGACATGGCGGCAGCAGCAACAATACTACATTGAGAATAAAAGTTATGCCTTCTTTCTTTGCGTGAACATTTGGGCGGCGTTATGCAAATCTTCCCACATAGTGAGGTAGATATGTGGGGGCGTGTTCGAACGAGCCGTTTTAGGGGGGTGTGGCTGACTCTTAACTTTTATAAAGAATATCTCTTTGGATTTGAGACTTTAGTCTTTGCAAATTTACAGATCTTCTTTATGCACCAAGAGCTTGTAACACTCCAAAGAGAAAGGAAAAAATGAAATCGCATCATATGACCCCTTTAAGACTGGCTATTGTAATATCAGCATCAGGTAAGATTACTCGCGTTCATTTCTGCACTCAATTACATAATGTTTTAATTACATATGTACCTTTATGAAAATTAAACATGGGTTTACTACAAATAAATAAAAAATAGTTAAACTAAAGTAACCACACATTAACATGGTTTTGCTATACTAGCCATATAGCGTCACCGTGGTATTTGTAGTAAAACTGTGATTATACTAGGCATGGGCCGATTACCGGTTTCAAGGTATACCGCGATTTGAAAATTTAAAAATTAAATGAAAATTTTAATATATTTTGCTAATATTTTCCGTTATACCCAGCGTATGTGCTGTTTTTCATGTCTCCTCAAAGACTGAGTGTAGGAATCCCTCAGGTTGACTGCAGTGTAGAGAGTAACATGACCCTCCTCCTGTTGGTGTGAGCGAGCGGTCAGTCACGTGTGTGTGTAGGATGGCTGAACTTAAGGAGCAGATCACTCACTGTTCATGATGAACAAACTATTGGAAGAAAATCCTCAATATTGATTGAGGTTTATATGAATGTGTTTCTGAGGGGAACTGACTGTCTTCAGAAAAGTTTACGTGGTATTTTCTTTTAATCTCGTCTCTGTATAGTTCATATTAAAGCAGTGTTTCGGCACAGTGCTGCTTTGTGTACAGCGGTAACCAAGGAAACGCCGGAGCTGGTGTTCCATGAGCGCCACCTGCTGTCAGAGAGTGAATATGCGTTTCATTCAGAGCTTCTGCTGTTTTGTTTCATTCAGGCATGTAGTTTAATTTCACAAAGCTAGTCAGAACTATGGCTGGGTATCGAGTTCGATACTTTTTAGGCACCGACCGAATTGCCTCGATACCATCGAGTATCGAAAAACATCTTGTCGTTCGGTACCAAATTTCGATACCTAATGGGGGGAAATTTCATCAGCGTCAGTGAGCCAATAAGCCTGCAGCACTTGCTGGTGTTTTCGATTAGAAGAGGTGCAGTGCAGATCGATCATCCGCGAGAGCGATTCGAAAGCGCACGGAGCAGTCTGCTGTCTTTAGCTCTCGTGGTACTGTAATACCACCAGTATAGAGTAGCGCGGGAGCTGCGTGGAGTTCCGATCATATGCAGATGTCCGTTCATACTAACGTTACACAGACGATCGAAAGCGCGTGTTATGTGATCATTCATGCAAACTGTAGCATCATGCTACATAAGACAATAAATAAGATTTACATTTTGCTTTTTCTCAAAACTCACTTTAAACCACCATCGAGTGTTTGTAATAACTTCCGATTGCCGTCTAACAGGGCCGGATTTACGCATTGCTCAAGACATTGAACAAATAAATATAACAAACAATAGGGTAAAAAATGACAAACTATTTCCATGTCTTCCACCTTTTTTATGTAGGCTACGGAAATCAGGCTTTCTTTCTCACAGACGCACACACAGTGCACACATGCGGAGACACGAATAGAAACTTCTTGTCAGCACTGCACCACGAATTTATCAGTAAAATAGTTTCGCAGCTGAAAAGCTATATGACATTTCTCAGTAGCGAGGTTCATGAAGGAGTTTACCTTAAAGATTCGCTATTAGTAGACGCTGCTGCTGAGAGACGCATAGATGCAGGTATTCGCATGCACTTAATCTCTCTCTCTCCCTCTCTCTAATAACCGCGTTAGACTGCATAAACCTGCATATCAATGGCTCAAGCCTCTGTTATCAGCTCTAAAATTACGTTTTGTAATTTGCAACTGAAGTTTTGGGATGAGGTGCGTAAAAAAATTAGTTCAACCCACACGAGATTTCAGGACGGAAACATGTCAAATGTCTTGAAACAAATGATCTGAACAATGTCTTGATGTGTGGTTAGGACTCCAGGCCGTTAAAATAATTAGAGAAATAATGCACTCCCGGAGGTGGTTATGTGGCCACGACTATATGGTATGGTCTTTCTCAGTTCTCAAACAAATTAAGAACTATTCGATTTTTATTGACTGAACGCAAGCGCGTATTCCAATAGAAAACACTGTATTTTTTTTCTACGTCATGAAAATAGGCCGTCTAATGTGTGTTTTGGCCATGTAATGTTGCTGAAATTAAATATGTTATTACCTCTGAGTCAGAGCAGTGATCATGGAAGAGAGAACACAAGCAGACAGCGCTGGAAGCTGCTAATGCTCATCAGTAAATCAGTGGAAAATAAATAGAAATCATGATTCTGTCTGAGCTATTTATTTTCCACTGGTATTCGGCCAATCACA